ATCTTGTTTTCAAAAAATGTATAAATATTGTATTAAATCATTCGATTCTGCCAATCCACTGCTCCTTCTCCAACAAAATAATCGGCCAAACTATTTCTTTTATCTTTTGCTTCTGTATTAGAATTTCGCTGCAACATTGTTCCCAAATGCTGTAAACCAGTAGGGCTAGTATCATTCCTCCATGAACCATTAAGAAGACGTCCAGTTTCTGTATCTTCTATATCTACAGATATTGAGTTTGGATTCTTTCCATTTTTCCTGATCCAGTTATGAAGTGCACAAGCTGCTTTTACTAATTTTATTGTATTTTCTGGTGTTAATGTTATTGGCCGTCTAAATACACGAAAACGACTTGATAGGATACCAAATCCGTTTTCCACTATACGTCTTGCACGACAATGCCTATAATTATAAACCTTTTCTCGTTCTGTTAAATGGTTGCGTCTGGCATAAGGTTTCATTAAATATGGTAGTAACGGAAAAGCATCATCTCCCAAAATCACAGAATCTGTTGGTGTATCCAACACGTGTTCTTCTATTGCCTTTTTTAAAGCAGATTTGGCAAATATACCACCATCAGAATTGCTTCCATAACTACCAATATCTATGCAAGTGAAGTTATAATTATGATCAACTAGAGCCAATAATACAATACTGAACGTCCCTTTATAGTTGAAATAGTTGGACCCGGAATTTGCTGGACATTCCATAACRATGTGCTTACCATCAATTGCCCCGATGCAGTTGGGGAAATTCCACAATGAATTAAAACCATCTGTTATTTTGTTCCATTTAGATTTCTCACGTGGAACCTGAAAAATGATGTTATAAACTTATTTTTGCTCATTCTAATATATTGCTCCTATTTTTTTAGTTCACAACACCACCTTCAAACTGTTCAAACGATGCTGAAACAATTGTTGGTGGCACAAATAACAATGCTGAAATAATTACTACAGAGCCTGAAAGTGTATGTACAGATGTACTAAATGATACGAATACATCTACAGCTCAATTAGCAAAGCGCATGAAGAAAAAAAGTGGACAAAATTCAAATAAAAAATCAGAGATTGATCAAGATTGATTCCTCATTAGATAATGCTGTTGAAACACTAAGAGCTGTATGCAAACTAAAAGCAACAACTAATGAATTTAATATTTTTGGTAATCATGTAGYGGCTCAATTGGAAAAATTACCACTAAGGCAAGCATTGGTATGCCAAGAAAAGATACAGAGTATGTTGACTAGTGCCCGAATAAACGTGATATCTAGACCATTATCACCAGTATTAAGTGTAACATCTCAAACATTTGATGATGATTTTGATGTTTTAAGTACAGATAATGATACAATTGAAATTGTGCCATGCTTCGCTCACCCTATAAATGAACCACAGGCAAATGCACAACTGTATTATAATAACTGGAGTGATCATGAYTGTTAATYGTTAATTTCATAAAATTATCTTAAGTGGTGTTAACTATTTTGTTTTAAATATCTTAAGAGTTATATAAGTTTTTTATTTAGGTTGTTATATTGAAGTTGTAAGTAACATACTGTCAAAGTTAAAATATAAATTACAAAAATTATTTTTCAATTTTTGTCCARTTTTACCTCAATATATTCTTTCWGTTCTTGAAATATTGCATTGAACACCTCTGGTACAAATTCACTTATTGACGATTTTCCGACCCTATATATGTATTGCAATGTTTTATAGGAATCACCAGTAGCCAAATATCTTAATGTTACTTCAAGTTTTAACTTAGCAGGTAATGCTTCCCTCATCGTGGTATTCTGCTTTTGAATCTTAGGTGCCACCTATAAAATTTAAAAATAAATAGGTCTTGTTGAATATTTTTTATTTATTGATGAAATATAAGCTTAGAATTTTACATTRGTAATTGAGATATTAAAATAAATTATTATAAATAATAGCAAAATAATAATATAGATTTAAAAAAAATTGAATCACTTAGGTGGGCCAACTTCACAAACGTAAAAGATAGACTATATAACATTTGAGAATAACAACATTATTTTGTTTTAATTTGAATGTAAAAAATGAAAAATCAAAGAAAATTAAGTGAAGATCAAAATGARTTAAGACATTTTTTCTAGAAAATTTAAATGATTTAAGTAAACCAAAATCATGAAAATATTAAAAACAATTGATTTTTAATATACCCATCATAATATTGATAATTGAATAAACTACGATAAAAAATTAACAAATATGAATTTAAACAGGACTTATGAATGTTTAGATATCCCTCCTGAGAAGTTGATAATTTTGAGRCTTTTGACCAAGCTCCTAAGTAAATTACTTATTATATATATTATATATACCGCAGCAAATCTACAGCATTAACAATCATAAATTCTATAAAATAGTTACCTTTTGAAGTAATACATTAAACATMTCTTCGTTTATTCTTAAAAAGTTAAAGTAACTAGATGTGTCTTCAACTGCTAACTCTTTTAAAAGAGTGTTTGAAATTCCTAATTGGTTTCTTCGCTCAATCCAACGTCGCACCCATAATTTTTTKGACCTTCGATTTCCTCTATTTAAAGTAATCAATTCATTGATCACTTCAACAAGAGCTAGCTCGATTGCATCGGTCGACATTATTTAATATTTTAATATTTAATATTTAACAAACATTAAGTCATTGACTTGAATACACATTTTAAGAATTTTAATCAATGTTCCACTAACTATCACAATTCACTATCACAGTATCACCCGCTCGTGTGAACACATTTGATAGTTGGACATTACTATCACATATTCTCATGATAGTAACTATCGCGTTTTGCTATCATCGTGCGACCGCGGCTTAAGTGCAATATTACACTTCACTAATATTTGTTCAATTAAATTTCTTTAAATCAAGAAATAATAATATAATACACAGAAAACTGGTAGTATCTATTAATTATATAGGCGAAAGGAATACAATTTGTTAGGTAAAATATTTATTAATATAACACTTTTTAATAACTTTTAATAATTAATAAAAACCAAAAAAAAAATAAAAATAAAAGGAACACTTTCAGTTTTGAAAAATAAAAAATATTATAATATTATAATATTAAGTTTTAAATATTTAAAATGTTAAAATGTTAAAATGTTAAAATTAAAAAAATATCAAAGTAAATAAAATATTAAAGTAACACATAAAAAATGAAAATGTAAAATTTTACTTAAAAAAGTAAAATAGAATTTACATTAAAACATTAAAATTTAAAAAAAAATAACAAAGTGAATAAAATATTAGAGTAACACTTTTATACTTGAATAATAAAAAAAGAGTTTACATTAAAATATTAAGTTTTAAATAATATTTAAAATGTTTTTTCATTAAAAAAAAAAATGAATAGAATACAAAGGAACACTTTCGACTTGATAAAGTTAAAATATAGTTAACATATTTTATAGCAATTAATATTGTGTATAAAATAATAATAATATTAATTAACAATAAAACACTTAAATTTAAAAATGCTGCTAGCCTACTAGGTAAATATAAAATGTAGTGTCAAGTAAACTCAATCATTATCTCGTCATATACATTGTCTAGCTCTTCATTTCCAACATCTTCACTGTTTTTGAAGATATCTTCATAAAACTGTGTAGAGTCTTCAGGAATAGTAAAGTATTTTAGCAAGTTCTTAACATCGTTTTGCTTAGATAACTTTACATGGTTAGTTTTTGGTATAGCTCCACAAGATTATTAAACAATAAAGCAAGATTAGAGTTTCTTTTTACTACTACGATTTTTGTCGGTATTCCTCCATAGGTTTTGGAAACTCCAACAGTTTTTTCTCGCTTGGTGTATGTATAAATTTTTTGCTCAGTTGATTTAAAATCAAATTTGGTTTTTACCAGATTTTTTACCACACTTTTATAATCATAGATGAAGAAGTCCTGACCATACAMTTTCACTGTACAAAACCTTTTAAAAATGTCATAGTATTGAGATGGAGCAATAATAGACTCTTTTTTTCTCAATACTTGTTCAATACGCCAAAATACCCTATAAGTCATACACTCAAGAAGATCCGACAATTAGAGTTTCTGGAAAATGTTGGTTTCCACATTCCAAAACTGATCTTAAATTACCCCAAAAAGGATTTTCATTTTTTAAAAACCACCAAATTGATAAAATGATAGAGGAAGCTTTTGAACCAAATTCTATTGATGGCATTTGGCATGACTTGCGTCTAGCTGCAGTAATTTCTTGAACGGTTGCTTGGTTGTGCGCAGGCGCGGTGACTTATCAACATCGGTGGCCTGTCCGATTGTTATCATTCAATTGTTATCAAATACTACTACTACTAATAATAATAATCTATTAATAGATAGTTATTATTTAAATTTGTTATAGTTATTGTCATAAAATAATTGTATTGCTTAAATTATATTATTTATATTTAACTAATTTATCATGTCTTCCAACTTTAAAACCTTTACTTGTGTTAATTGCTATAAAGTATTTAAGTATAGACAAACAATTATAAAGCACCCTAAAAAAGAAAATTGCAAGGTTCAATAAAAAAAAAGATTGAATTCAAGTGTTGTTTATGTGATAGATCCTACTCGACTAAAAGCAATCTTCAGGCTCATATAAAAAAGGTCCATGTGAAAAAAGAAATGGAACAAAATATTAAAAAAACTTTTAAAGATGCATCTGGTATGTATTTAGTTAATTAGTCTAGTACTTAACTAATATATAATTAATTATGACTAAAATATTATACTTATTGAAATTGAAGCTTGATTGTTTTGAAAATTATTTTTTGTTTGAAATTTAAAATTTAAAATACTGAAGCCAATTATGTTTCTTTATGAAAATATTAACAAGTAAGTGCYAAGATCTATGTAATCAAAATAAAAAAAATTCACAAACCATGTTATTAAATAATCAAAGTTATACTTTAGTTTTAGTACATACCTCACAGATATATTTTGATGTTTCTTAACTATTCAATTTTTCAGAGTTCGAAATTTGGAAAAAATCAGTTGAAAAAGAGAGCTTATCAAAATATRTTAAAAATACTCGTTCATGGCAAGTCAAAAATGGTACTMAAGCAAAGTATGAGTGTCATAGATCTGGCAATCCTCGGCTACTGAGTGAAGAAGACAGAAAACGATTTTTAAAATTAAAAGGATCCTGTAAAATTGGTTAGTACCTACCTATTAAAAATTATATGATGGATATTTAAGACAAATTTTATTGTTCATTACATTTTTTAATTTTTATAGGCACTAAGTGTACTGCACACATAGTGGCAAAAACATTGGCCGATGGTTCAGTAGAAGTTGAATATGATTATTCAATTAATTCATCAATATTATTACTGGCTTCAACTATATTTTCAACCTCAAATTCTAATAAATATCATAATTAACATAATATAAGTTAAAATAAATATTAAATAAAAAAATAAAAAATCTGTATGTAAATCAAATAGCCTTATGTATTATTATAATATACCTTCAACAGTTGGAAAATCATCAATATCTTGACTATCTTCAACCACATATTTTACAGCCTCAAATTCTAATAAGGATCATAATTTTACATAATATAAGCATAAATATTATATTATATTAATTATTTTATAAATCAAAGAGCTTTAAATAATTATGTACCTTCAATAGTAGGAAATTCATCAATATTATTACTGGCTTCAACTACATTTTCAACCTCAAATTATATCAAGTGTTATAATTTTACACATCAACACAAATAATATAATATTAAATATAGTAATATAAAGCTTAAAAATTACCATAATCCTCATCTGAACTGTAAGCATTATTTAAGAGCTGTTGAATTTCGGCGTCAGGTAAAAGAGACATACCTACTAGGTAACTGAATTATTATAACTATGTACCTACTCTAATTTATTTTACAGTAAGTAGGTACCTAAGTAGTAATATTGTAACTACACCTAAGATAATAATATAATATTAGAATACAAAAAAACCTAAAATTAGCTTAGTGTACTTTATTATAAACGCTGTTATGGT